TGCTCCAGTGTTGCTCTGTTTTCTGATCACAGGTTTTTTTCTTTATTGTTTTGCTCCCTGGCTTTAGTAGAGCACATTTCCTGATTGTCTTTACCTGGTTTTGGTATTAGGGTGATGCTGGCTTCATAGAATGAGCTTGGAAGTGTTCCTTCCTCTCGAATTTTTTGTAGTAGTCTGAGGAGGATAGGTTTTAGTTCTTCCTTGAATGTTTGGTAAAACTCCCCTGTGAAGCCGTCTGGTCCTGGGCTTTTGTTTGATGGAAGCTTTTTGATGACTGCTTCAATTTTTCCATAGTTATTGGCCTTTTCAGATTTTTAGATTCTTCCTGATTGAGTTTTGGAATGTATTTTTCTAGGAATTTGTCCATTTCCTCCAGGTTGTCTAGTTTGTTGGAGTAGAGCTGTCCAAAGTATTTTTTAACAATCATTTGTATTTCTGTGGGGTCTGTTGTTATTTCGCCCCTATCGTTTCTGAGTTTGTTTATTTGGGTCCTCTCTCTTTGCTTCTTGGTGAGTCTGGCTAGGGGTTTGTCAATCTTGTTTGTCTTTTCAAAGAACCAGCTCTTGGTTTCATTGAGGACACATTTCTTAGCAGGATTCCCATCTTTAAGTGGCAAGAGGCTGTACTTCCCGCCTGGATGAATTTGGTTTCTCCAGGCCATGGTTATTTGCTGGGTATACCTTCTACTCTACTTGCACTCCAGACCTGTGTGTCTTCATTTCTAAAGTATGTCTCCTGAAGACAGCTTAGAGTTGAAGCTCTTCTTTAAATCCAGTCTGACAATGTCTGCCTTGCGATAGCGTTCAGTGCCATTCGATGTTGTTATTGCTGTGTTTGGATTTCCAGCCACCATTTAGCTATTGGTTTTCTCTATGTTTTGTGAGTTTTTGCTCTTTTGTTTCTCCTTACGATATTCTTTCATGTTAAATAGATATTTCCCATTGCACTGTTTTAATTCCCTTGCTGTTTTTAAGGATATGTTTTTAAGTTATTTCTTTTAGTGGTTGCTCTGGAGATGATGCATTCCAATTTACACAATTTACTTCAGTCTATACCAACTTAATTCCGGCAGAATACAGAAACTTCGCTCCAATTAGCTCCATTTCTTCCCTCCTCTCTTGTCATATATGTTCGTTCATGTATGTTATGAACTCAGAAATACTGTCTTGTAAGTACTACTTTAAACAATCTTCTTTCTTTTACATTAACTAGGGCAAAGAAGGAGAAAAGTGTTTTTCAAGCATTTTATTTTAAACTTCATATTAGCCCTTTGCTTTACTCTCTGTTTCTTTAGTTTGTTTGTTTGGTTGGTTAATCCTCACCCGAGGATATTTTTCCATTGATTTCTTTAAAGAGAGCGGAAGGGAGAGGAGAGAGACTGAGAGAGAAAAGCATCAATGGGAGGGGGGCCAGGGATCAAGCCTGCAACCGAGGTACCTGCCCTTGATTGGAATTGAACCCAGGACCTTTCAGTCGAGGTCCGATGCTCTATCCGTTGAGCAAACCGGCTAGGGCTACTCTTAAACTCTTTCTGTGTATTTGAGTTGTTGTCTGGTAACATTTCTTTGCTCAATAGTCCTTCATTTCATGCTCTTCACTTGGCGCTATTATTGTCATGTAAATTGATCTTGTTATAAGCCTGGCAAGGTTACAGGATACAAACTCACTATACAAACCAATCATATTTCTATATACTTGCTACAGCCAATCAGACAATGACAATTTAAAAATACTATTTACAACAGTATCAGAAAGCATGAAACACTTAGGGATGAATTTATCGAATTAAGAGCAATGTCTATACAATTAAAACCACCAAGCATTGCCAGAGATATGTAAGAAGATATAATGAGTGGGGAGAAAGACTATGTTTTCATGGGTTGGAAGATTTAGGGTTGTTAAACTCTCCCTTCTCCTCAAATTCATCTATGGAATTACATAATCCCAACCAAAACTCCAGAAAGCCTTTTTATAAAAATTGACAAACCGATTCTATAATTTATATGGAAATGCAAAGGTCCCAGAATAGCCAAAACCAATTTGAAAACGGAAAAAGAACTTTTAAGGCTTACACATCCTTATTTCAAGATGTATTACAGAGCTACAGTGATCCATTCAGGTTGGTATTGGAATAGACTTGCAGATCAATGAGACAGAATCCAGGCTCCAGATATATAGATTGCCCCCCCAAAATGTATGCACAATCTTTGAATAATTATAAAGGCAGTGTTTATTATAATCATTTCATTTTCAAAATTGAGCTCTCAGCTGTTAAAGTGTATATACATTTTGGGGGACACACACGGATTTTCAATAGAGTGCTAAAATAATAAAATGGGGAAAGGAAAACATTTTCAATTCAAATAGCTGAAATTACTGGATATCTGTATAGAACAAGAAAAACAAAAAAGAACCGCAATCCTTCACACCATAGACAAAAATTACAAAATTTCTGCCTGGCCGGCATGGCTCGGTAGTTGAGCATCAACCTATGAACCAGGAGGTTATAGTTCGATTCCCGGTCAGGGCACATGCCCGGGTTGAGGGCTCAATCATCCCCAGTGGGGGGCGTGCAGGAGGCAGCCTGTCAATGATTCTCTCTCATCATTGATGTTTCTATCTCTCCCTTCCTCTCTGAAATCAATAAATATATAGATTTTAAAAAAATAGTCTTGCCCTGGCTGGTTTGGCTCAGTGGATAGAGTGTCAGCTTGTGAACTGAATGGTCCCGGGTTCGATTCCAAGAGCACATGCCCGGGTTGCGGGCTTGATCCCCAAGGTGGGAGTGCAGGAGGCAGCCAATCAATGATTCTCTCTCATCATTGATGTTTCTATCTCTCCCCCCCATCCCACCCAAGGCCTTCACTGCTCTATTAGAGCATCATTTCTCCTGATTTTTTAAAAAATGGTTTACTTGCCCTAACTGGTTTGGCTCAGTGGACAGAGCGTTGGTCTGGGGACTAAAGGGTCCCGGGTTTGATTCTGATCAGGGACATGCCCGGGTTGCAGGCTCGATTCCCAGTGGGGAGTGTGCAGGCAGCAGCCGATCAATGATTCTCTCTCATCATTGATGTTTCTATCTCTCTCTTCCCTCTCCCTTCCTCTCTGAAATCAATACAAATATATATATTTTTAAAAGTCACAAAATTTCAGGAGAAAATATCCACGACATTGGAGTATACAAAAACCCACTAGATGAGACGGGAAAAAAGCTCAAACCATAAGAAAACAGTAAATTAGACTTTGTCAAAATGCAAACCTGCACTTCAAAACACAAGGAAGAAGGTGGTCAGATAAGCCACAAACTGAGAGAAATCTCTGCAATATGCATATCACGGAACTCGGGGCCACATTATGTAAATAACTTCAACTTCTCAGGAATAAACCCGGAAAAACCCAACTTCAAATAGGGAAAGGTTCCAAAACACATGATGAGGAACAGGGTTTTGTATTGTTTTTTAAAATATTTTATTGATTTTTTACAGAGAGGAAGGGAGAGAGATAGAGAGTTAGAAACATCGATGAGAGAGAAACATCAATCAGCTGCCTCCTGCACACCCCACACCGGGGATGTGCCTGCAACCCAGGTACATGCCCCTGACCCCTGGGACCCTTCAGTCCGCAGGCCAACGCTCTATCCGCTGAGCCAAACCAGTTAGGGCTAGGAACAGGGTTTTTATAATTAGTCTTGGCCGCAATGAGATACCACTACGTGTCCCCTGGTCCGGGGGCCGGGGGGTGATTGGGTGGGAGGGAGACAGGGGGGACGTGAAAGTGTCACACGTCGGCAAGCTCGGGAGCACCTGGAATCCTGCGCTGCTGGCGGGAGAGGAAAACCCTACAGCCGCTTTGGAAAACAGTCAGCGGCTTCTGACCACGTTGAACCGACCGCCTGCGTGGATTTAGTCGGTGCCTAGTCACTCAAGACAGGCACGTGAAAACTCGTGTCCACGAATACGCCCATACCTAAATGTCTACAGAAATTGGCAGGCCCAAATGGGGGGCGGGGGGCCTCAAAATACCACCAGGGGAAGCACGAACAAACTGTCACCTCCCCAGAGGCTGCTCAGCAGTAAAAAGGAACGGCCTCGGTGCGGGTGACATGGAGACCCTTAAAGACACGGTGTGTGCCGAACGGCGGCAGAGACTGTACCCTCCCGTCTGTTTTCCAGGAAAATCGAAGTGCTGCTCGCTTCGACCTCTGACCTTTTTTCTGATCACCGTCCTCCTGGTCTTCTTTGGGTAAGAAGCGTGCGAGACCCTCTGGGTCTGCCCGGCTTGGGGAGCAGCAGCAGCAGGAGCCGATCGGATCCCAGTGGGGTGCCCTGAGCTGTTCCCCCCAATCCCACCACCCCGGGATCACAACTGTAGTGACGGGACTGGTGACAGCCCCTCACGGCCCACCGCCCGGCTTCACACTCCCTCCTACTGAGGCCCCACCTTGTGGGTGAGCTGTGCTCCCCCCACGTCACTAGTGGGGAGTCGGGCAAGGCCTGGACCCCTCCGCTGTGTGGCTGCGAGTGTGGAAGCCGCGCTGTCAGCCGCTCCCAGGTGGAGAAGGTCCTAGAACAGGGAGTGAGGTCACTGCCGCTCTCCTGGGGCAGGGCCCTGACAGGGGGCAGCTGCTCTGAGGAGCTCGGGGTCATGACCTGGCTCATCTGCTTTGCGTGGGGAGGTGGACAGGCCGTGCCAGGACCAGCTCCTCAACAAGGGCCTTTGGGGGGCTCTTCCACAGCATGGGGGTCCTGAGCCCAAGAATCACGATGCTGGAGACCAGACCAGAAGGAGAAGGGTGAGTGCGTGAGGGCGGGTCACGTGCCCTGACAGCCCGGCACTGGCTTCCTACTCTGAGGGCCCAACCCCCGCCCGGTGACACATCAGTGGGTCAGGGCCTCCTGCTCGTCCCTCTCCCCACGCTCAGAGCAGCTCAGCCAAGTCCCTGACCTTGAAGGGTCACCTGGGCAGGACTTGCCACACGTCTGGCTTTAGCTCTGACCTCCCGCCTCCTGTAGGGGAGACGGGCTGGGGTGACCTTGAAGGTCACCTGGGCAGGACTTGCCACACGTCTGGCTTTAGCTCTGACCTCCCGCCTCCTGTAGGGGAGACGGGCTGGGGGGGAGGGGCGCTCTGTGTGCCTCATGAATGACCTCCTGCTTGCCCGCCGCCTCTGCCCCGGGGCCTCTAGTCCTCCTGACGAGCCTGCGGTCAGACCCTGGGCCTTTGCATCTGCTGCGCCCCCTGCGAGGACCTATTTACTCTCTCCCCGCCCTTGGCCTTGGGCCAGCTCCTCCGTACCAGCCAGGGTGGGGGCTGCAAGATCAGTGTCCCTGAGAGAGAGGAGCCTGGGCTCATGCCCTTGGTGCCCTGGCTTCGGAAGGCCCGGGGCATCAGCTCGGATGCATCTGATCTGTGAGAAACGGCCCGAGGCCGGCAGTGTGCGGGGCGGGGATTGGGGCCCTCTGCAACCAGCACCCGCTCAGCCTCAGTCAGAGCATCTGCTGAACGTGGGCCCAGCGGCTGCGGCTGCACCGAGGTCCCCACACCTGAGACGTGCAGGGACCCAGGCAGCGCCGGGCCCACTGCGCACAGTGAGGGCTTGTTTAAGGTGAAGCCCATGGCCGCACGCCAGGCTGCCCCGGCCCCCTCCACCGGGACCCCAGCTCTGATCCCTGCACTTGAGCCGAGTTCTCCTGGTAAAACCCTCTGTTCTCATTCGGCAGCGAGGCCGCTAGAAAACCAACGGAGATGCAAGTTGTGAAATTACCGAGGTACAGTGTCTTCCATGGCCCGCCCAGCGGATACCTGCCCTCCAGTCTCAGTGTGGGGCGGTGGGGGGAGCGGGGGGAGGACAGAGGTGGGCGCTGGGGACAGATGGAGATGGCTGCTTCCTTCCCAGGGCCCGGACAGACTGCCCCCCGCCCCCTCGCTATCCCGGGGAGACCCACACAGGGCTGCTGCCTTGACCAGTTGATGGCGTGTGGCTTTGAAGGGGTGACACAGGCTGGCTGTCCTGGGCTGTGCGCTTTTGTTGGTGTTGAAAGGGACCGCCTCGGACGATCTGAGACAGGGCAGCCACCCACCCAGAGGGCACTTCCCGGCCCTCCCGCCCACAGTGAACCGAGCTGGACCCTGGGATCCCGCCACTCTGGGTCAGAGGGAGGCAAAGCCCGAGGCCTTTAGATCAGGGCCCAGTGCACACGCAGGGAAGCAACACAGAGGCCCAGCCTCCCCGAGGTGCCTGCGGAGGCGCCTGGGCTCCGGGTCCAGGTCCGGGGAGAGGGCACAGCCTGGCACGCTCAGCAGCCACCCTGCCCTGCCGGCGACTTCCACGGGTCCCCGACACTCAGGCCGCGCTGTGCTGTTTTTCAGGATGCTTTATCCGCAGCCCACGGTGATGACGCCCTCGTGAGTACATGTACTGAAGCTCACCGTCCCTCTCCCGATGTCCTAAAGGGCGGGCCCCTGACGCGCTCCCGGGCCTGGCTCCGCCCACTCCGTGCTCTGGGGCCTGGGCTCTGAGCCTGGAGCCCAGAGTCTCTGTCCTCCCCCTGCGCTTCGCGTCCTGTTCTCTGTCCTCTGTTCACCCAGACAGTTGGAGGGTGGGCCTTCCTGCAGGGGGTCCCCTTGGCCGGCAGGTCCCGCTGCCCCGGGTCCTCAGGGTGCAGAGCTGGGAAGGGGGGATCTCCCACGTTTGCATCTGGACTGGCAGCAGGCGGGTTGCTTGCCGCTGCCACGTGCTCTAGAAGGATGGTCCGCCTGGGCGCCGAGGGCGTGGGGCCGAGTGGGCGCCCGGGGCGGCAGGGAGCACGGGTGGAGCGTGTCCCCCTCCCGCCCGCTCACCATGGCTGTGGGCTGTCGGCGCAGGAGGAAAGACGTCCTGGTCCTGACCCCGTGGCTGGCGCCCATCGTCTGGGAGGGGACCTTCAACATTGACATCCTGAACGAGCAGTTCCGGCTCCAGAACGTCACGGTCGGGCTCACCGTGTTTGCCATCAAGAAGTGAGTGGGTGGCAGGACGGAGGGCAGAGAGCGGAGGTGGGAGCGGCGGGTCAGGGAGGGTCTGTCCTGTGTCCAGGCATAACCGGATGGGGTCAGCCAGGAGATGGGGACCTGGGGGTGAGGGGAGCACAGCTCAGGTGGGTTCACCAGGCCGGATGGGGTCACCAGGAGATGGGGACCTGGGGGTGGGGGCTGGGGTTTCTCGGGAAGCATAGCAAAGGTGGGACCCAGCTCCAGCTCTGCTCACCAAGGCACCGCTCCCCGCCCCCCGGCTCCAGAGCCTCAGGCCCTCCTCCATATGATGGGGTGCTGCCGGCCCCCCATCTCCGGGAGCAGAGGATTAGGCCAAGCCAGGGGAGTGGGTCCCTGTCAGGAGCACTTACTCCTGAGTCCACACATGCCCTGAACCCTGCTCGCCGGGCCAGTTGTCAGAGTACCCACCCTTCATCCTGCTCGCCGGGCCAGTTGTCAGAGTACCCACCCTTCATCCTGCTCGCCGGGCCAGTTGTCAGAGTACCCACCCTTCATCCTGCTCGCCGGGCCAGTTGTCAGAGTACCCACCCTTCATCCTGCTCGCCGGGCCAGTTGTCAGAGTACCCACCCTTCATCCTGCTCGCCGGGCCCGGAGGTGGGAGCGGCGGGTCAGGGAGGGTCTGTCCTGTGTCCAGGCATAACCGGATGGGGTCAGCCAGGAGATGGGGACCTGGGGGTGAGGGGAGCACAGCTCAGGTGGGACCCAGGTCCGGCTCTACTCACCGAGGGGCTGCCCCTGCTCCGTCCCCGGAGCCTCAGCCCTCCTCCATATGATGGGGTGCTGCCGGCCCCCCATCTCCGGGAGCAGAGGATTAGGCCAAGCCAGGGGAGTGGGTCCCTGTCAGGAGCACTTACTCCTGAGTCCACACATGCCCTGAACCCTGCTCGCCGGGCCAGTTGTCAGAGTACCCACCCCCAGGAGCAGAGGATTAGGGAGGCCAAGGCTTCCCGCTCAGGCGCGGCCAGGGGAGTGGGTCCCTGGAAGAAGGTGCATGCTCTGTGTGGTCCAGGTGGGGCCTGGCCTGGCCCCCGTGACCTCCCGGCTCCCCCTTACCTCCCGCAGGTACGTGGTCTTCCTGAAGCTCTTCCTGGAGACGGCCGAGCAGCACTTCATGGTGGGGCACAGGGTCCACTACTACGTCTTCACCGACCGGCCGGCCGACGTGCCCAGCGTGGCGCTGGGGGAGGGCCGCCGCCTGGTGGTGCTCGAGGTCCCGGGCGCCGCGCGCTGGCAGGACATTTCCATGAGCCGCATGCAGATGATCAGCGACTTCTGTGAGCGGCGCTGCGGCGCCAACTGTTGGGTCCGAGCCCCTCTGCCCAGGACGGACCTCTCTGGACCCCAGGTCTTAGACGGAGAGGACGTGAGACGTCGTGGGGATACAAGTCTTCACTGTAGCCGCAGTAGCCACGGCTAACCAGGAGCCATCGGACAAATCAGTTCTTCAAAGCCAAGTCCCACGAAGCAGCAGCCCACAGCGGCTGGTGAACAGTCCGTCTTCCCTCAGCGCAGCCTCCACACAGGAGCCACGCGAAGTAGCCTGGCTCACACAGGAGCCATGACAAACCTCGTAGCCCGACCAGGCAGCGAACCACTCACACATGGAGGCTTCTTGCCCAAAGCAGCATCGTCTCTGGTGACAGCGGGGCCTCTGCAGGGCAGGAAGATCGCTGTGTCCTTGCTTTGCACCTGCGCCTGGGAGGCTGGCCGTGGCCTTGCACATCTGGCGTCTGGACAGGGCCCCCCAGTCCCCCTGGAAGAAGGTGCATGCTCTGTGTGGCCCAGGTGGGGCCTGGCCTGGCCCCCGTGACCTCCCGCCTCCC